CTGAGGAAGCTGGTCCTGGAAGTTCCAGGGATCACAGTGTGGGAAGAAAATGCCTTCATTAGAGAGGTAGGTAGTAAGAGGTAATAGAAGAAACAGTATTGTCAGTACAGAGTCTGCACTGGCTCTCAGAGAGCTGAGAGTGTGAATCTGGGTTCCATAAAGAGAGGTCCAGACCTGCAGTGGAGCAGGAGGGAGGATGCTAGGGACACACATTCTGTATCCTTTGGAAAACCATGTGCTGGTTCTTTTCAAGCACTATCCTCTTCCCCAATAAAAAATGTCTTTAAAAATGAACATGCTTTCTTAAGTAAGTAGTTACATTGACCAGTGGTGTTGCAGCACACACACAGTATTTAAAGAATGTGAGCTGCAAACCTGTGCCTTTACTTCTAAAGCTCTGCACCCTGTGCACAGGCCAACTCTACATTTTGCACCTGCCTTGGAAGCAGTTTGAAAGCAAATAATGATATTTTGTTTTGGTGACTGGAAAATGGGGCTGTCCCAGGGGAGCTCTAATGTGTTTTTGCTTTGAAATTGTCATTTTACTGTGGTTTAGCTAATGGACTCTTTCTTCTTTTGGCAATGTATACAGGCAGCAGTATTTGGTGAAGAGCCCACATAGAATCCTGCAGCTTTTGATTTGTTCAGGGACACAAAACCTATCTAGGCAAGCAGCTTGCCTAAATCAGGTACACAAAACCTATCTAGGCAAGCAGCTTGCATCATACCTCATCAGGACCACCTACCTCCCTGTTTGAAGTGTGAACCACACGCTTCCAGGAAAATTCAGCTTTCCCAAAGTATTTCCCCTAAACCAGAGATAACCTGGGCCATTAAATGTGGATTTGCATTCCAAAAGCCTCAGAATCAGGTCTTTTACAATCACTGTTTGTGAAATGATCAGTAAAAATATCAGCAGTACCCTAGAAACCCTCTGACCCTGTGAGTGGATGAGGTCAGGCACATCCCTCCGTATCTGTAACACTCCATGACCTTTTATCCTCCAAACTGCTCCTCAAAGTCTTCTTCATGCCCAGTGCCCACAAAAGCCTGATAGCTGCCTTAGTGTCTGTCAGGTTCTTAGACATTAGGCCTGGTAAAAGTTCCCTAGAGACGGCTGCAGTTACCAGTCTTTGCTCTCTGGGTTCCCAGGAAGTCTTGTCCCTGTGCCCATCTTGATCAGCACTCCTGGCTGGGTGCTGCCTGTGTTTCATCTCACTGAGCTCCAAATCTACATCAGCATTAACAGCGTCTGGTTCAGCTGCTGAGATGCTTTGGAAGATTGGCACCACGTTTCCTGTATGTTTGCTCAGCCCTGAAAATACAGAAATGTGCTTAAGAAATAATAGGTGGGAGAACACAAGGCGCCATGTAATCATACAGCCATCCCAAATGGCCAGCAGCTCTCCAGAGAGGTTCTCAGGAAGACTGGTGCCTGCTGGCTGCTCTTGGCTATTTTGAGATCCTCCTGGGTCATAGGTATGAGCTTTAATCCAAGAAAGACCTTGCCAGCCACGTGTGGTGGCTTCACCTCTTGGATTGCATCAGGTGGTGTGAGACACAGCACTGCAAGCAATGTGGTCATTGCCTGGAGCCTGGCTCCAGCTCTCTGCCTTCCCATCATCTAGAAGCAGAAGGGAAAGTCAAAATCTCTATCATTGTCCTGTATTCTCCCCTGGTCTATCATTGCTTAATTGTATCCCTAAATCTTATTAAATTCTGGGGTGAGTCATTGCCACAGTGAGGTAGAAACAGAGCTGAGTGAATTTAAGAGAGGGAGGAGTGTCTTCTCAGGTGAGAGGCTGAGCAGGAAAACTCCCACAGCAGAGAACTACTATCACTTCATAGGTGTGTTGCATCATGCCTGCTGTTGCCTCTAATTTAATGTTCCAAACCCAAATCAAAACACCTGTAGTCCAAAGAGAATATAAAATAACTTGGGAGTAGGAAATCCATGCCATTTAGACATGCAGATCTCTCTTAATCATCTGAGACCTTCTTCCAAGGTCACACAGGACTTAAAATTGTGGTTCTGCATTGTCCTGTTAGTATTAACTCTCAATAGAAGCCACTTTCCTCTCCACCACCAGGATAAAATTGTAGGATTAATCCAAGTGTCTGCACGTCTGTGTCCAAAATGTATTTCATTTTTGGCTACAGGAGTTCGAGCTTGTAAAACTCATTATGGTCTGGAGAACGGTGAAACCACTGTCACTGGACAAATAACTTGTCACAAACTGGAAACTCTCCTCTGCTTTTTTTTTTTTGTGTATGCACCATTAGATTCCCCTCTACTTTCTGCTTTGGTTTCCGATGCAAATCCATAGGTTTGTTTTCCATCACATCCCAGGCTCCTGCTTCTCATAACTTTTAGAAGTTAATTGTGCTTCTTTGGCATTCTGTCATGGCTGGGATGATGTTGCTGAAGGTATGAGAGCCACCTTTCAGGGTGCTGGATGGAGCTCTTGACATGTGAGTGTATTCCCTTGTGAAATATATTCTATCTAGTCCTACCCCTGCTGTAAGCAATGAGTAGGATATTTCATTTCTGTGCAGCACAACTGTGTGATGATAGGAGAGCATGAGAAAATATTGTACTTGGTATTTCCTCCCTTCTTCCACATTGTTGTTGAGGATGTTGATGAGTTAATTATCCCTAAAATTGGGGTTATAGTGCCCAGGAGTTGTTTTGACTTGTTGAGCTTTGCCTGATGTGGGCAATCTGGGACCAAGCAGTCCTGGAGCCCAAAGTGCTCAGGGCTGGTTAAGCTCAGTCAGGTTTCTAAGTTAGGCAGCATGGGAAGTTGGGTGGCATGGATGGCATGATTTTTTTTTTGTGGAAGGGTGGAACACCAAGGGAGCAGGTAAGTCAGCTACACCACTGAGGGGTTTGCTAGACAGATGCAAATTTATTTTTGCTCATCAGTTGCTGCCTGGATAATAGTATCTCAGTTGTTAATGGAGCAAACAAGGGAACCACAGTCAAGAAGTGCCAGGGTGCTTTGGAAATGGAGTTAAATCTGTCATCCAAGAGAAAGCAAAGAAATTCCTATTGAAATTGTAGTAGACAGCAATGTTCCAAAGGAAAAGAAAGGCCAGGGGAACACTGTGTCAGGATGGATGTAATCAGGTACTTAATACTTCAGAATAGTATTGAATCACAGAATAATTGAGGTCAGAAGTGACCTCTGGAGATCATCTAATCCAAGCCCTCTGCTAAAAGCAGGGTCAGCTGGAGCAGGTTGCACAGGAGTGTGTCCTGTTGGGTTTTGAATATCTCCAAGGATGGGGAACCCACAACCTCTCTGAACCTCCAAGCTTGACCTCCCTGACAGTAAAAATTCATTTCCTTATGTTTAAACGGAATTTCCCAGATTTCAGCTGTTGCCCTTTGCCTCTTTAACTGGGCACCAGTGTGAAGATCCTGGCTCTGCATCGACCCACTTTTATCAGTAATGACATACATTAATTAGGTTCACACCCTTCCCCACCCTCAGCCTTCTTGTTTGGGGTTAAACAGCCTGATGAGAGAATAGGGAAGTGGGAGTTGTTGCAGGAGGTTGAACTAATGTTTCTGGGCAGATATTGAGGCCTAAAGCCCACCTGAATGCTGTTCTGAGTAAATAGTGATGTACAAATAGTAGAGAACAGCTCAAATTAACTTTCTTGCTTTTTCTTTGCTTCTCTCCATCTTCTTCTTTTCCATTAGTATTTTTAATTTATGACTGTTCCCTTGGCATTGTCCCAGATGTCTTCTGGGAATAGTTATCTCTGAGTATTTTTTCTGTCTGTGTTTGTCATTTAGTGTGGTCTTGGCAGTCCCAAAAGCTAGGAATTTATGGTGAGTGATTCAGGTTGGTGCTCAGCTGATTTCTGTAACCTGCAGAGATGAGAAGAATAACTTTGGATAAAGCCTTGAATCAGAATTTGAGCTTGAGGTGAACTTCTGTGGATGTTCAGTGTAGTTAGAGAACGATTTTCTTGTTTTTAGAAAAGAAACTCACATATCCTCAGGTTTGGGGAAGATAGTGGTCGAAATAAGGAAGTCCCAGATCTAAAGAGTGCAAGCCTCAATTCCAGACCCAGGCAGTCAGATGTTGGTTATTTAGACCACTGATAAATATTCAGGCCTATGGATTTGCGTCTGAGACCACTGGACCATGTAGAGTTTGGCAAACCTGTGGGCCCCCAAATGAGTTATTAAAGCTCTGCTGTGGGTTTTCATATTGGTTTGTTGGTTACAAAAACATGACTGTCCCATATACCTGATGTTACATGTGTGAAAATGTTTGGTACAAAAATGTTAAATCTACTTGAATGTGTAAATACTTCAAAACCTGTTAATTTTGCTTGTGCCAATTAATATATTGGGGTTCAAGGAAGACAAGATTTGGTTTGGTACTGCTTGTAGTTGCTTTAAATCTGAGCATCTGGTCACTTACCCATCTTTACTAAGGTATTTTAAATATATTTGTTATATTTGCTTTGAAAGTAGAAACTCCCCAGAACTAGTTAAATATGAAACCTTTCATCATTCCTATCAATCTGTCATATCTCCTCCCAGCAGAGATTTGTTAAAACTTGTCTTGGATTCAATCTGTCTGTCTTGTCAAACCATTTGAAGCACCTTAGGTGCAGAATCAGTTTCCCTGTATTTTGTGGAATAACAGAAGTAAGAGGTCTGGATTATTAAAAAAAAAAAAAAAAAAGCCACACAGAAAGAAAAGCCTGGTCTTATTTAAGTGGAAAGGAAAGACCAGTTTCCATTCATGAGGATTTCACTCCCAGGCTGATTGTATGATGTTGCGTCTGCCTACCTCTGCTTTTATTGTAGCAGATCAAAATTATTAAGTGTGCATGTATAGGGAAAAAAAAGTACAGCCTTTAGAAGTTATGTGTTAAAAGTAGTATTTGAAGCTTTGCTGATGCGTGACAAAAGGTTTGAGTTGAATGCTTTTCAGGGGCTAAGGCACTGAGTATGCTCTCCCTTTTCCTTGTAGGTGTGTTACTAGACATCCAGCAGCACTTTGGAGTCAAAGACAGTGGGGCTGGCTTGCTGCAGACAGGTAAGAAAGTGTTTCTTCTCTCACTGCTCTTTGTAACATTCCTTTTGTCCAATGGGTGTCTATGGATTTCTTCATTATGATGCATAGTTGTGAAATCTACTCTTAGACAGGTGAATAAATACACTTCTACTGGGAAGCTAAATGAACATGAGGGTTTTTTGTCCTTGATTTGCTGTTGGGCAAGAGATTGGGTCTCACAATGACTTGAGTGTAGACTGGACCAAAAGCAAACAAACCTGATGATTTTATTTACAAGAACTAAATTCAAACAGGAGATGGTTCCTTCCCCAGATTAGAAAACTCATGATAAACCAACACCAGGATCCTGTTCGCTTCTTTAGGTTGGTAATAAGTGTGATGTATTTTGCCCTTCAAGTGCTTGACAGAGAATCTGCTGAATGGGCAGTCCCTGGGAGCATGGTGTGGCATGAAATGTAAAACTCACTGGGGCAAGAACCTGAGAATGAAAGCTGTAGGCAAGGCTAACAACCACTGCATCCACGAGAACTCATGGATGAGCAACAGCCCTGGAATTCTGGTGCTATAAGCATCCGTCATTTCTCTTGTTGAGTAAGGAAGGACTGTTGCAATTCTGATGCCCTTTTAATGGAGCAGGCATTTTCATGTCTCAGACATCTTTAGGCAGAGCTGAAACAACCCCAGAAGAGCCCCAGCTTCTCTGCCTCTAGTCCTGAGGTGGCTTAGGGGAGGGCCTGTGTCAGTGGCTGCCCAGGATGACATGGAGTGCCAGTCTCATGCAGACATGACAGCACGTTTGATCCTCGTGGAGAGTTGAAAGGAGTAGCAGTATTTTTAAGAAATGCAGTATTTTAAGAAAACAATCTGCTTTGAAAAGCTCCTACAGAACTATTAATTAGAGTCATGGATTTGTGGTACTGTAGCTGTCTTGTCACTGTCATCTGTCTGAAGGAACCACACTTGAACAATTATATCTCTGAAAAAGTGAGAATTCTGTTGGGTTTTGAAATAGTGTGCCAGCATGACATGTTTTCCCATGCTATCACAGTGGATACCAAACACCTGTCAGGAGCTTGTCTGTGAAATTGTGGCCAACACTGAATTGTAAAAATAATTCAATCTTTATGATCCTACTAGTTCTGGAGCTCCATCAATTGGTCTTTGATTTCAAATGATGTGAAGCTCTGCAATTCCCCTCCTTTTTTATTTCCTGCAGCCCATGGCACAGCAGGGTCCTCATCTGTGGTTGCGGCTTCTTGGTAATGTTGTAATACAAACAATTAATAACAATTTGTATTAAATGTTTAAAAAATGCTGTCCTTGTGGGACATCAGAGTTCAGCTCAGCTGATGTGAGCAGCATGTGTCCAGAACAGAAGGTTTCAGCTTTACAAGTGTCCCTAATTATATGTAGCATCAATCAGTTATGCCCAAAATGGCACTGGCTGTCTGTCAGATTCTTTTCTACAGCAATTATTTGTATTTATTTATTGTACTCAGAGGAACAGGTCTTCAATGTATCATTAAACACAAAGTACTTTCAAGAAAATATTCTGGTGGAAAAGACACTTGCCAAAGCACATATTTAGTCTTGCTTCCCTTCAGGATGAAATGCTTCTGAAGATTATTCATTGACAGCAAGTAAAAGCTAACTTCAACAGGATATTCATTTGCTAATTGCAAGATAAGTTATTTATTTCTCTGGCAAACACACAGGGCATCTGAAAACATCATCACTGAGATATTGCAGGATTTCTCTTGAGTGTGTCAAGTTTTCTAACAGGTAATTGTTGCTTTAAGAAAAGCAGTGTTTTCTCTTGGAGTTTTTTGCTGATCTGAAAACAGAGGGCTTGACTTTGCTTCTGCAATATAGATAATAATGTACTAATCACAATGCTATCAGAGGAAAAGAGTGCTCAGAAAATAAAACACCATTTCACATAAATAAGGGTAGAGGCATGTAACTGAAAGCTTAATAAATCTATTCCTCCAGTTTACCAAGTTTCTGTGTTGGCAGGTGGCCCATAGGCCAGGTATCCTTAATCCTGGTTAAATAAAAGATGCTGCCCTAAACCACCCCAAACATGGCTTCTCATCTTTTGTCTTTTCTCTAAATCTGGCTTCTCAGTGTTAAAATCAGGGGAAGTGGTGCAGAGTTTAAAAACACTTGCCCAGGGTTGCAGAAGAAGCCTGGAGCAAAGCTGGGGCCAGGCCACAGGTGTCTCCCACTCTTCTGCCTTACCCCTGAACAGTTCCTCTGCCAGCAGACATACAAATATTGTTTGCTTCCCATGAGATGGTCCTGCTAACTAATTAAATGATGTGAGACGAAAGGCTGTTCATCCTCATTATGTCCTCTGAATAAAGAGTGGATTAGTCCTCAAGTTTTTAATCCTATATCTAAATCAGTCCTAAATTAATTTACAACATTAATGAGGGGGAGTGAAATGTAGTATATACGCAGTCCATATCACTCATCAAAAAGGCAATAAAATAAAAAACTTTTAAAAATGTAAAAGCCTTTTAACTGAGAAACAAGGTTGCACAAATTTTCAGGAGGAAATGGTTCTGAAAATCCATACAGAAAGCGGGGAAAAGAAATCTACCAAGGATAGTGTTTGACCCTGTGTTCATCCCACACCCCACTCTTTGCAGGCACAGCTGATCTGGTATCTCTCTCCCTCTGATCACTTGAAAGCCAATCCATACTCTCAGCTTCTGATGCTGTCTGGAAAGCAAAGGTGACTTTTTCCTTAGGATTTGCAGACACAAATAGAATTTTTCTCTTCTTTTATATTAATCCTGACGTACAAGCTGTTCTTTAAGCAAGAGATAATGTAAACTTGTTCGAGGGACACTGTAACTCCCTGTACAGAAAAATCACACGACAATCCAGCCTCATCCATAATGGAAAGAAGCAGACCATGGTAGTCACTACAGCAAGCATCCTGTGACAGTGGAGGACACGCTGACAGATGGAGCACAACTGCTGCTTGCTCAGTAGCATTCTGGAGTGGCACACATAAAACTGGTGATCTGAGCTTCACTTATCTCCGGATGATGCTGTAACTGTGTGCTGATCTTCCCTTTTAAAGCACTACATGTTCACTTGTGTAAATATTGATTTCGTTGACTGTCCCACAGGTGTGCATCCAAGTTTTCTTGTGCTTTTCAGTTCTTACTGGCTGCTTTTCCCAGCTAGAGAAAGGATAAACCTGGCTGAACTCAGAAGGTGGTAGAGAATCTCATGCCTACTTGAGCTGTACAGCTGCAGCCAGTCAATAGATTTATAAACCAAACCATTCAAAAAGTCTTATCTATGTGTGGAGTTAGGTAGGAGCAGCTGCAGAACTGCAGGCCACTAGGAACACAAAGACTAGGAAGGTGGATGACTGGATTTGTACTGCTTCAACTACATTTTGAACTGCTTCAAAATAGTGTTATCCTTCCATATACACTATGCCATGGGAGTAATGCCTCAGTGCTGTACTCTGGTTTTGACTAGATTATTTTTCCTTCTTTCTACAATTTTTGTGCTTTATTGCTCTGTCTGCTCTCTGTGGCCTTGAATTTATTTTGCTTTTGTGTCTCTTGCCAGTGTCTCTGTAGCACACGAGAGCTCTTAATAATAGCAGTGGCTGGCTCACTATACAGTTCGTTGTCCAAAGATCTCAGGATGTTTTATATCAGAAGGGCTTATAAGGCTGGCCCTTATAGATGGGGAACCCAAGAAAGCCAGATGGGAAAAATTACCTGCCCAGAGTGGCACAGCAGGTCTGAGGCAGAGCTAGGATGAGAACTACAGTCCAGTTCCTGAACTGGACTACTACTAATGCAGCATTAGTGTTATGAATGAATTAATTAATGAGGTTAATGCTTAGACCCAGAGATTTGGTTCTTGTTACTGGGCACCTGAATCCTCCAGTCCAGACAGCTCCAGCTCAGGGACTTCTGCAGGTGGAAACTGAGAGGTATCAAATGGAGGTTATTGCAAGGTTTCCATGGAAATGCAGAGGGGGAAGTGTCTTCAGGAAGAGCATAGAGATGTCATTAGAGGAAACCCTGGTAGGCAAAAGTGTATAGTAGCCAGGAATGAGGTCTGCAAGGACTCATTAAAGGTGAATAATCATAGATAACTGGGGCTCTGAAGGAACCTGTCTCATGTCTCATGTGCAGAGAGATGGGCATTCCCCCAGATGCCCTTCAGCCCCTGGTTTCCCAGAAAGCCAAACAATACCAGGTGCTTTTTTGTCAATCTTGTTGTGAGCTCACTTTTCCTGTAAGGGTCAATTCCAACTACAATCTCTGTTAATTTGAAAAGTGGAACTTTTATCTACCTGTGTTGCCTACCTCTTGAGCTGACATAGTGTAACCTTTGGAGTAGGTTACAACCTTACAAATACACAATCAGCTCTGGTGTGCTCTGATTGTTCCCACCAAGCTATAAACACATGCACTGAGAATGGGTTCTTGACAGAGGGGATGCAGCACAATGGTAGCATAAATCAGACTTGATGAAATTCAGTTCCCTTTGACTCCCATCTTCTTGTCACTGGCTTATGGCGGCAGCTGTACCTCTCTAACATTTTTGTTTATTCCATGCAGAAACCACATTCTCCAGGTGCTACCCCTGAATATGTGTATATTATATGAGTTGCAGGTACTGCTTGTTTCTTTTCTACCATCTGCTTCTCCCTAATGGACACTGTTTTTCTCCTCAGCTGTGCTCTGCAGAACAGAACTACATCTTCACATTTTGCTTCCCACTGGACTTGCTTAACTGTTCGTCTTGCTAGAACAGAGAAAATTATAATCTAAACACTTTCTGTTTTCTGTTCCAAGTTCATGGGCTTTCCTTTTTGGGTGAATGTCTTCCTGCACCCGAGCACTTCCCAAGGAGGTGGCTCCTCAGGTGTCCAAGCCAGGAGGTGAGATAGAATGCTTTGTGCTTGCTCTTCTTATGACTGCAAATGGTTTGGTCCATGTCCTACCCACTGTCTTCTTCCCTGCTTCCAACAACAC